TGACGAGGATTTTTCTGTAAAGTAGGTCAGGCCTGGTTCTGATACATGCTTAGGACATACACACAGCTAGTTTTATTTTGGAATATTATCAATAACACAAGTTTTAATGAGTTGGGTTAGTAAGAAAAGATGAGAAACGGTGTAGATTTTAGTCGTGTGTTTTAATTTCTTAATTGCCGTTGCGAATACGTGTCGTCGTGAAGGTTTCATTTAACGTTTTATAAATCGTAAACAAATCGTCTTTGAGAACGGCGTTCTCTTTGACGAATTCCTAGCAAACCGCAATATCCTCCACACCAACAGTTTCTTTTAATCGCGCTCCCATTTTGTGGTATGAACGTTTCTTTGACTCTTCGCTTGAGGGAACTATGATCAAAGCGTCCCACATGCCTACACCAGCGTATACATGCATACATACATACATACTATATGTTCATCCACATATCTTCCTGTCAACCAAGTGAACATTTCCAAGCGTCCATTTACGCTTCCAATAAACTTCAGAAGAATGCTGTGACAAACCCCCGTGTAAAAATCTTCATCCTTTACCTGTAGAGGAAGAGACAGTGTCCAATTTTAAGTTGTCATTTCAAAAGTCACCAAAACATACATACTCAATATTCAATACCTGTCTGATAATAAAAGCCACTTCTGCCAACCCCTAATGGCCGGAGTAGACTACCCTAAAATTTTAAAGATGGTAGAAAAAAGATTTAATTTTGTTACATCACAGCCACAAAACTTTGGGAAATTATTTTTGATAATATTTTAAATCCATAAAAAAATTGTCAGTACTTTTTCGTCCCTCCTAATTGTTGACAGAACGCTATAAGTATTTATTAAAAATAGCTGTACTTTTGTCATTTCAGTAGTTTTGAAATTTGCAGGCAATAAAGAAAATGTATCTGGAAAACGAACTGTATAATGCCAGAAATAATTTGAATCACTAAACATCTGCCAGAACGAAAAACGTTACCACACGAGTGCGAGCGAGATAGGCTTATTGATTTCTGTAAGGTAGAAAGAAAAATAAATATTTATAGCGTTTTGTCAACAATTAGGAGGAACGAAAAAGTTCTGGCGAGTTTTTTATGGATTTAAAATATTATTAAAAATAATTTCCCAAAGTTTTGTGACTGATGATGTAACAAAATTAAATCTTTTTTCAACCCTCATTAAAATTTTAGGGTAGTCTACTCCGGCAATTGGGGGTTAGCAAAAATGGCTTTTATTTTAAGACAGGTATTGAATATTGAGTAGGTAAATTTTAGTGACTTTTGAAATGACAACTCAAAATTGGTCACTGGCTCTTGGTCTAGTACGTAGGTAGTCTGTTTTTCAATTTTTTTTTAGTTTTTGATGCGATTGTTTCTATCTAATTTAGATTCTTTTTGCCAAAAAACACTAATCCGTTCCGAAGTAAAAGGTAAAAACAAAAAGGAAGATTATAACTTTCATATAATTTTTCTCCCTCATGTTGTTTTTAAAAACGGAAAGTTCCACTAAGCTATTCACTTTTGTTACCCAAACCTTGGTCATTACTTACAAAGTATTGCTATAAAAACTGTTTAATATTTAATTTTATATTCGAGAAACATTGATCCTGAAAGTTTTTTTGGTAATTTCTAAACAGCAATCTTCATCACTAACAAAATTTAAGCGTACAAATCTTTTAAGAAATTGCGCTTTAAAAATTATATTAGGACTTCAATTGACCCTTATTTAACCCTTCATTCGTTATGACTGTTTATATTTGGTCATTAATACCCATTATGGTCTTATAAAAAAATAATTAAGGTATGGTTACATTTATAAATTATAAAAACTCAGATGTAGATGTCTTAACGACATTTGTATGTTAATACCCAGAATTTTGAGCTTCTTTTTTAAAGTCTTTTGTTTTATTGCTAATCATTTATTAGAGTTGTAACATTAAAACAGTCAAATCGTACGAGCTACGCCATCTAAAGGTGCTTGCTGGAAAGTATTTCCCGGCTTACGAACTTGTGGAAATATCCTTAGTGCTTTAAATTGAGATGAAGAATTCTATACATTAACAATTCTATAATTTTCGTTACGGTTTTATTATCGCAAGTTACTTTCTGTCTGTTATGTTTACTGTAATTTACTATAGGGCGCGCAATAAGTAGAAAATAATATGGTGTCGACCAACCTATAAAAGAACTTGGAACTTTTGTCACGCGTTAGACGTTAGAGTAAGATCAATAATGTCAAAAATATGACATCCTCTTAAATAAGGGAGTTTATATTTCCTATAGCAAAAAAACACCCTGAATTATGTTTTACTGGAAATTATTAAATCGTTGATCAAATAAAAGATATCCCTAAGGACAATTATGATAGTATATACATAGATCCTTGACTTTTTAATATTTCTCTCATCACATTCGTTTAATTTTGATAACTAAAAACAGTAGCACTTTTAGAGGAATTTCTTCGCAATTTTAAAATTTGCGTAGGTGTTTGCTAAATTAATGAATACAACTTTCTCTCTTTTGTAGACCAAAACTTACCTTTTATCTATTATTCATTAAATGATTTATTAATGAACAAAAAAATCTTAAAATATCTAATGTTCGAGAGACGTTAAAATTAAAAATAGAAGGAACTTAAAGTCAACGCAAGATTCTCAATACATAGGTAACTAAATAAGAACAAACGACCAGTGAATTAAAGAAGAATAAAAAATTTATATTTTGTAAAGTTCAATAAAAAATAGTGGAACACATAAGTACAAAGAAACATGAGTATTAGACTATAAGAAAGCGGAAAAAATGAAATAGCGCGGAGAGTGGATAGAAAAAGAATCACTGAAGCCGAGAATCAATAGGATGTACTTAGCATACCATCATAAGGAGAACTCGATCTAAGTAAAAGTAAGATAATCTCAGATATTTTAGTGATCTACCTTGAAAGTCTGATTACATATGTCAAGCATTGAAATGGCCAAAAATTTACAATTGCTGAAGAAAACGAGATCGAGAAAGATATTGGAACAGTGGATGGCTCGTTCAAAATGAAAAGTATAATCATGAGTTGTGTTTCAAAATGGAAATATCTCATCAGAAATTATCCGAAAAGGAAAAGAGGGCCATTTTTTTCTGACATTTTTACAAAATAAAACCAGAAAAAGTTTAACGAGGCATATAAGATGGTTGTTTGAAACTATAAAGGCACAGGTACACGGATACCAGAAAGAAGAAAAAGACAGATGAAATAGCAATACAAGTAACGAAAGTTAGCGACAAGCAAACATATGGGTAGATATAAAATCAAAAGCATCAAGAGATTAAAAGAATACCTACTAGAAAAATGGAGAAAAATTCAGAGTGAATGGGTAAGGATTAAAAGCTCAGAAAGAGGTGAAATGGGGTTACCAATAACGGCGTAAACGAAAGAACAAGAATATAAACATTAAAAAAACACTGTACTCACAAGTTTTATTTATATCATAGAACGATATAGCTTCACACAATACAATTCCGGAGTATTTTAAAAGTTAACAAGCACATTTCTACAGTCAGAATCCATACTCATATTGCAAATTAATTTCTATATCGTATACAAATTTGTTACATCGCATCGTATGAGAATTGTCAAAACGCTCAAATATCTTGTTCGTTTTCTAATTTACATTCCAAAGCTATCAAAAGTGCCTTGTATAGTACATGGTGATACAGTTACTGAAAAGCAATAGGTCTGTACGGTTTTGTCTTCTGCCTGCTGATTCTGAATTATTATTTATCTACATAACTTAAAAATAGAGGCTGAACTTTCTCACTGCTACAAATGCAGCAAGTAAATATATAACATCCAAGTTTTCTTCTCTCTACTTATAATTAAAATCACTGATTAATACTACAACTAACAGTAAATTTTTAGTACATCGAGAGTATACTTTTTATACAGAAGTGTTTTTACATCGTATACATTTACATTAGATATAATAAAAACTATTAGCAAAATCTACTCTATATATTTTTTACAACACTATCTATATAGTACAGTTGAACTTCGCTCAAGAATAAAAGAACATACCCTAACTTAAATTATTAAAAATAAAATATTCAAAAGTACGTTTTTACGTATTTGGTAAATTTGGTACCTATCAAAAATCATAATTTTTAACTCTACTATTTTAATTACTTAAAAAACTGCGTAGAGATCACGGAAGATTTCTTTCAGCGAAGTGCAAAAACCCTGTCATTTATAATACAATACCATTTGCATAATAACTTTCGTTATATTTCATTAATTATTTCAGTTGTTCGTAGGTAACATGTAGTATTGAGATAATTTTTAATTTAAGGATGTTTGGGAGGTATGTCAGAATGCTACGAGACAAATAAAAATTTGGAAGAACGTTCCTCATTCATTTCTAAAACTCCTGTAAAAATTACAAATCGATTCACTAAACCGTTAAAAAGTTATTAATTTTAAAAAATTCTAATTTTACACGTCATTTTATGGAGATTCGTTAACCGAACAGATTAAATTTATTTTTATTAACAAAAAAACGCTACCAGAAATTTCAAACATTTATAATAAGTAACTTGAACTATGGAGAATCACTTTAACGTAAGGTTATTCAAATTCACTAAATGGTTATCGAGGAAAAAATGAAAAATTAGCTGAAAATCTCGTTTTTTCTTGATAATAAAATGATAATATTTATAATTGTCTGAAATAAATTCAATTTTAAAGTTTTAATTATTATTTAAACATATTAAAAAGTTTTACGCTCATTATTAATAGAGATTGAAACTAAATATTTTTTTGTTTTGAAGTTGAAATCAATGCATATTCACTGCGAAAAGTCAGTTAAAAATTTTGCATATTATTCGTTATTTCTTATTTTATTTAATGTTTTTGGTCAAATTCCAAATTTTCTCTCAAACCGTATACTTTTTTTTAGTATATATCTAGTATTTATTTACCTCATGATATGCTGCAAAACCTAATTAATAACGAATTTCTACTTTTATGTACTCTTGTCTCCGATTGTACCTCCCAAACATCCTTAATAGCTCTATTAATCTAAGTTATTTTATTGATTGATAAGTTTCGTAATATTTTCCTGTATTAGTCTTAATCTTGTTAATTAAATTACATTTTGATATTCATCATTAAATCTTTTATAATATAAATACGCATAGAACGATTCAAGATTATAAATAAACAATATAAACCATTGGATGTGTATTTAGAGTCACCCTGTAAAAGGGTTGGATTTATCTCAACACTATTAATTACCTTATGCGTCTTACGTAGGTATCATTAGCTATGTATTTAATATCAACATAATAATAATTTTATTATTATCTAATACACGGAGGCGTTATTGTGTGTGTCGTAGTTTATCTGCAGGTAGGATGGGATGGCGGCGTTGAGTTCGGACGCTCGACGTCGTAACGCGGCGATACTGTGCCCCCGCCAGAGGTCGTCGTCGGCGTCGCTTGGAGACGCGCCCGACGCCGATGCCACGGGAGGCGTCGTCGCGCTCGAACAGGGGTTGTTGTTCTGAGGGGACGAACTGCCGCCCGAGCCACCGCCCCCGTTCACCGTCGCGTTCGAGGAGTTGTTGGTGCAATAATTCATCATCGTGTCACCTGGAAATAAAACGGGGCTTAGATGTTGACTGCGTGCCGAACGCTTTATTGCGTTACGCGGAAATTTGATGCAGAAAGGGAAAATTTTCGAACCACCCCATCGCACGTGTACCTATTCTCTTTCGTCTTCTCTTTTTCCCTTGTTTACTGGAGATTTTTTTTTAAGTTTGTTGCTACTCGCAGAAAATAATTCAAAAATGCTGAAATACTTTGCGTTTTTTATTTCCTATAAAAAAATCTTTTTTTTTGAAATAATAGATGCAAAAACGAGAAGGGTAGCAATTTTCTTCTTAGTGAAAGGAGAAAAACTGTGAGCAAGTGGTGATAGATACGTCTTATTAACTATCGATAACCAAATTTCTACTTCTAGTAATAAAATTTATAAAATGTATATAAAAAGTATGTTTAAAAGTAGTTTCATTAGATGAAGTTTCAAATAGGTCAACAAATTTTCCCAAATTTGAATAATTTCCCAACATCAAAATTTTCTGAAATTTCTTTTTCATTTATAAATTACTCATTGCTATTTACTAACACATGCATTGTTTGCACTGTAATGAAATTTATTTGTTTTATAATAATTATTAAATAAAAGTAAAACAAAAATACTGGTATGCAAGGGGAAAAAAGTAGGGAAAGAGCGAATATAAAGATAGGAGACAAAATATTAGAAGNGTATAAAGAGCAACAGGCAGTTATAGAGCTGGGACTGCAGAGAAAGAGCGAATATAAAGATAGGAAACGAAAAATTAGAAGAAGTGGCTGATTTTAGGTATCTAGGAAGTCAGATAAGTCAGGACGGAAGGAGCAGTAGGGATATAAAGCAGATGATAGCGCAGGGTCGAGTCGCCTTCAAGAAAAAGAAGTCACTTCTATGCTCGCGAACGATTAATTTAAAAATTCGAAAAAGATTGTTAAAGGTGTATGTTTGGAGCACGTCGGTGTACGGGTGCGAAACATGGATGATGGGCGCGACGGAAAAGAAAAGGTTGGAAGCGTTTGAAATGTGGTGTTTGAGGCGAATTATGAGGGTACCGTGAATAGAAAATGTTAGAAATGAAGAGGTATTAGAAAGAATAGGAGAACAGAGGACTCTTATGTAAGTTAAAAAAAAATAGGCGAAATAGATTGGTAGGACACCTTCCCCGGTGTGAAGATCTAGTCAGAGACATATTAGAGGCAGAAACAGGAGTTAGGATGGGTAGAGGTAGACCTAGATTAGATTACTGTTCGCAAATTAAGGATGTAGACCATTCTAGTTTTAGGGAAATGCGAAGATTAGCTCAGAATAGCAAAAGTGGATGTGCGCGTCCAACCAGCGTCAGGACTGACGATGATGATGATGATAATAATTGCTATTAATGCAAAAAGTACTGAATCTTATATAAACTATCCCTTTATATCACCTAAGAACAACTTTAATAATCGCAAAGAATAGTTTACGCTTATAACTTCGTCAGTTTAAATTATATTTTTTTTATTGCATATTTAAATTATTTATCCATGTAAATAATTTCAAAAATATTTAAGTTGTGACACAATTTCATTGAAAATATTTACGTGTTCATTTTCGTTAGTAACTACATACACTAGTAGCTACTTAAGAACCATACATCGATATATTGGGTATTCTTTTACATCCAATATATATATGACAATTCGAACTGCCTTCAGCCATCTTTTTATATAGATAATTAATAAAATGCAATTGAAAACTTTTAACGGATGTTATACGTTCTTCAAAGGACTTTGAAGAGTTCAATTAGGTATAGGACAATTTTCAGAGAAGCAGATGACAATTTTAGATTATGTGGTTGAAGAAATTCATATGTTTATCAAGTTATGCATTTCCGTTTGTGTTATAAAATGAAAAATTGCCTACAAAATGTGTTTTGTATGCACTATTTATATAATACATGTTTTTCTACCATTTCTTAATTTGCTAGACTTGTTGCAATAAAACTTAAATTGTAAAAATAATTTCGTTTGAAACGTCTTTTCTACGTTCAATATAATAGACGATGCAGTTGAGTTTGCGGTCGGTAAGGTCAGACCAGGACAGGCGCGGCCAATATTGACCGAACGTCAGGTGGGCCTTGGCCACCGGCCAAGCTCTAACGCTTAATTGACCATTAATACTCGACCGATAAATTTTAACACCATTACGTGCACCGATAACTTTTACTTTTACAATCGTGAATAGCACGTACCTATATCTGATTCGAATTTTAAGCAACAGATAGGTGGTTCGACAAAGCGTTTTCAGAGTATAATACTTACAATTAGTTGGTAGTGGTGAAATATTGTAATAATAGTAAACCTGGCATGTGACAGGTTGCGATGAGATTTTGTGTTATTTTATGATTTCGGGAACATAATTCTGTGATCAACACTTGCTACATTGAAATAAATCTGTGTAAATAAAACATACTCCTGAGATAGATGCACTGGATAGGAAGTAAACGCCTATTTATCCGATAACATTTGCGCAAGGAGCAGTTTAGTAGTTTATTATACGCCTTTTTAAACCCCACGGACGACTTGTGGGAGGCAGCATAGTATGACGGATTTTGTGCTGGCATAACAAAGTTATGCTTGTAATATCTACAGTACCCTATAATTGGACAGTAATTTGTTACCAAATCCAAAAATTTGTAGCTCCTGCCGGTTACTGCTCTACAAAGTACGAGGGCGGTTCAATAAGTACCCGTGTTTGAAGACAGAGGACGTTCCTGAGGGAAATTGGTGTTGTTATCGTGTGCTGCCATCTATCAAATCACGTCAAAACGAATTTCAGACTGATTGATAGGTTAGTTTGGATTTGGCAGCCATTCCACTCAGACGTGCTTCGTTATTTTCGCTAAGATGGAAAAAGAGCAGTATCGTTCGATAACTCGCTTTTTGTTTTTGGATGAGAAAAAATGCGAGGAAATGAAAACAAAGTTGGATACTGTTTATGGAGACATTTCGCCATCTACGACCACAGTTAGATATTGCTTCAACGAATTTAAACGTGGGCAAAGATCCGTTTTTGATAGGAGCGACCAGGAAGCCTGGTAAACGTTGTTACCGAGGAAATCATTTTACGGATTTTTTAGGAAAAGGAAGAACGATCACTGGACAATACTACAGTGAGTTATTGGACCGCTTCGACAAAAAATTGAAGGAGACACGGACGCATTTGACAAAAAAGAAGGTGCGTTTTCAACATGATAACGCACCGGCACATTCATCAGGAGTTGTTGCCGCCAAAATGCATGAATTACATTATGAACTGCTGCCGTACACTCCGTACTCACTCGATTTGACTCCCTGCGACTTCATCTTGTTCCCTACCATGAAGAAATGACTAGCGAGAAAGAAACTTAGCTCAAACGAGGAAGTCATCGCCGAGACAGGGGGGGATTTTGGAGAGTTCGACCAATCTTATTTTTTGGAGGGGTAAAAAAAATGTCAGGGTTGTTGAGAGAAGTGTATCTTTCTGAAAGGGGACTATGTTGAAAAATAAAAAACAAATTTTAAAAAAAAGGTGTCTTCATGTCTAACACGGGTACTTATTGAACCGCCCTCGTATATCCCAAAATACAAAAGGTATAGTAAAATCTGAAAGGACTGAAAGTTAATACTTTTATATATTTATCGCTAATCTATCATCCAACTAACCAGTCAAAAACGACTGAATAACCGCCAATCTGACACTACACATGTTAAATCTAGGAATAAAAATGGCATAGAAAAATACAGTATAGATTACAATTTGTCGCTGAAGGATGGTACATTTTTACCCATTTTGTCGCTAGTCTGTGCTCCGGCTAGAGAACCGTCAAACAGGCGCTAGATATTGTCTATCCCAAAACAGAAATGACTATAAGGGTTACAAGTTACAATTTGTCACTGAAACATGATAATTTTACCGTTTTGTCATCAGTCCGTCCTCCAGCTGTACAGCGAAAATCGACTAGAGCGCTGACAGTCTGACTACACTAGCCTATCTCAAAATAAAAATTCCGTAAGTAAATGGTGTAGGGGCTATATTTTGTTGCTGGAAGATGACACTTTAACCCATTTTCTCGATGGTCTATTCTCCAGCTAATCAGCGAAAAACGGCTAGAGAACCGTCAAACAGGCACTACATGTGGTCTATCCCAAAACAGAAATGACTATAAGGGTTACAATTTGTCACTGAAACATGTTAATGTCTATCCTCCAGCTGTCCAGCGAAAATTGACTAGAGAGCCGACAATCTGACACTATAACCTATTTCAAAATAGAAATTCCATAAGAAAATGGTGTAGGGGTTGTATTTTGTCGCTGGAAGGTGACACTTTAATCCATATTGTCGATGGTGTATTCTCCAGCTAATCAGCGAAAAAGGGCTATAGAACCACCAAACAGGCACTAGATATAGCGCCTGTAAGAGTTACAATTTGTCGCTGAATGACGGTAATTTTACCCATTTTCTCATCAGTCTATTCTCCAACTGTCCAACGATAATCAACTGGAGAGCCGTCAATCTGGCATTGCAATTGCCTTTCTAAATAGAAATGGCATAGAAAAACTGTAGGGTGTATATTTTGTATATAAAGATGATACTAATCTGCCAGTCGAGCCTCGAGTTGTTCAGCGGAAAACGATTTGAAGAACGTCACATAACGTGTACCGAAAAAAAGCATATCGTGGAACAGAATACTGATAAATTATTGTTCTCACAGTTCATTTGGACCACAGTCCTTCAGCTCGAATCAAAAAGAATAATTCTATCATGATTTCCGGTCGTGAAATCTGATTCTAACTATGTTACTGTACTATCCTTTAACAACAATTGAGGTAGTACCAAAGCTCGGAGTAGACCTTAAACAAAAACCGTTTTCGGTCGTCTTTGATGTGAAGACTGTGAAATTGTATCAAAACTTAATATCTGCTCGCAATTTCTAACAAACCTCCCGTTGAATTTGTGGTTGATAGCAATTGTTTTATGTAGAGAATAAAGCAGCAAAACCTATGAACCATTTTGAGATGTGTACAAGTATATCATATCATTTTCAAAGAAATTAGGATTATTCATAGGAATTGAAACTGCGTTATTATTAAAATGGGCAGTAGTAAATGTTTAAAGACAGGTATACAAACATGAATAGGTTTATGCTAAAAAGATACTGAAGCCTTCAGAAACATTTTCACACCCACAACTGGTTGCGCATACTAACAGTCATACAAATACATATGGAATATTTTCATATACAAACGCAGACGCTAAAATAAATGCGCTATACATATGGCTTTAAAAATTCCTTTGCACTTAAGCAAAATAAACATTTTAAGCACCAATTTATGTGCGCGAAAAGTTAAAAACGTTCACCTGTTTTAGCCATGCACATACACATATAATGTACATAGATGTATATTATGTGTCCGTATGTACAAATACGTATTAGATATCTGAAGTTTGTTCTATGAGCAATTGTTCCCTTGTACCTTCTTTGAAACATACAAACATTCTTTCTTCTATGTCTTTTTGGATCTGCCGACAACTCTCGTTAAATTCGCACAGTGAAAAACATGAGGCTAACTGATTGAAACCCCACTTAAATTTTTGCGCTGCAAAACATGTGTTAATAAACGATGATCTCTGCCTCTCCAATAAAATTATTGTGTAAGTACTAAATGATATTCATTAAATTGTTGACGACCAGTAGTGGCATGATCAGTCGATTGTCTCGTTGACAAAGTAATAAGTTGCTAAACGCGTTTTTAAACAACTTTTTATTAAACGTTTTCTAGAAAACTGCTGGCTTTACAATATCAAAAAAATATTAATGCCTATAATATTAGTATCCATCAAGTTATCAGGTACAAAAGTAGAGACAGGCTAGACATTAGAGGATCATAATTGCTTAAAGTTACAATAGATACCATAGGGAAGTCTGAAACAGTTTTCACATAGATTGAAATGATCATCTTCCATCAAAGATGTAAATGGAAAGCATTTAATATTTTCAAATTCTGACATCCTAGACCTGCCTGCCCCGATTAGAATTTAATTCATACAGTGTGTGGTAAATTAGAGGCATGCCTCTGGAGGGATTTGCCCGTAAATTCGTCATTACAACCCTTACAAAAGAAATCAGCGATGCTGAGGATTTCGTAAGGATCGTATGAGGCAACCTTACAAATAGGTTAATTCCACAGGCACACATCAAGTATAGAAATTCTTTTACGTTAAACAAACCTATGGTTATCTGCTGGTGGGCCGTACTTAAACATTATTAAGTGTTTCAATTTTTATTTATTTGGATGATATCTCCAACTCAGAGACAGTTTTCGTATAATAAACAAATACTTTATTAAATTATATGTTGACCGTTCTGGTCCAACACCTTTTGCCATCTTTCTGGTAGTAGCATAATTCCACGCTCATAAAATTTTTGGTCTTTGCTGGCAAAAAACTGATCGAGGAGGTTTTTGACCTCCTCATTTGAGGTGAAGGTTTTACCGTCTAAAAAATTTTGGAGTGACCGGAACAAATAATAATCCGATGGTGCCAGGTCTGGAGAATATGGTGGGTGTAGCATTGTATCCCATTCAAGCTGTAAAAGCTTTTGGCGAGTGACCAAACTTGTGTGAGGTCTCGCGTTGTCTTGGTGAAACACTACACCTTTCCTGTTGATTAGTTCTGACCTTTTCTGTTGAAGTGCATCATTCAGTTTGTCCAGCTGATGACAGTAGACTTCCGAATTAATCGTTGTGTTATCCGGTAAAAGCTAAAAAAAAACGATTCCTTTAAAATCCCACCAAACAGACAGCATCACCTTTTTTTGGTGAATATCGGCTTTGGAAATGGTTTGAGCCGGTTCATCTTTTTTGCTCCATGACCTCTTGCGTTTGACGTTGTTGTATACAACCCATTTTTCGTCCCCAGTGATGATGCGCTTCAAAAACGGATCATTTTCGTGACGTTTGAGAAGCGAATCGCAGACGTCAATGCGGCGACACAGATTTCTCTCTGTGAGAACATGGGGAACCCATACATCGAGCTTCGAGGATAATCCCAGGCCTTTCAAGTGGTCATAAACTGTTGAATTTGATAAATTTAACCTCAATCCGATCTCACGTGTTGTTATTCGCCGGTTCACATCAACTAATGCCTTTATCGCGTCTTTATCAGCTTCAACCGGCCTTCCCGAACGTGGTGCATCTTCGACATCAAAATTGCCGGATCGAAATTTAGCGAACCAGTTCTGGCACTGGCGTACTGTCAACACACCTTCTCCATACACATCAGTCAATTTCTTTCTGGCTTGAACAGCATTTTTACCCTTTCTGTAGTAAAACAGTAAGATATGTCGAAAATGCTGCTTATCGCTCTCCATATTTAAAAGGGCACCAACCAAAAACTACTGCGTAGAATTAATTGGAATTTTTCACACACAAGCCTTGCTATATGAGCTCTCAAAGCATATAAAAATTATACGGCTTAAATGTGAAGTTGGGTGCAAAAGAATACAATTAAATCCTCTGTCGGGAAAAAACGAAATGACTTTCCGAACAACCCTATATATACCTAATGTGAATCAGCTTATTTAGTCTAAAAGAAGACTTTGGCCAACATCCACATAATTTCTTTAATGATACACTTTATCTGGAGTTCCCTGTGAAATTCATTGATTTGCATTGTCATACGAAAAGGTGATCAAAATTACTTATCAAATAATCAGTCGTTATAAACAACTTTAATAAAAATCTTTACACTATCGTCAATTTATAAGAGGTTTAAACAACACCCACCGACAGTGTGTAGGTACATGTACATACGTATATGTACGATATAAAGGAGCAAAATAGACAATAGGTTATTCAATGAATACGAAGTTATGTTGAAAATGATAAACCGCGTAAACATGAACGTTAACGTATTGTATGCGTATATAATTAGAACCATTGGCGTGTATTTCGGTGGCAAGTAACGAGACTGCTTCTAATCACTGCTAATTGTATATTTTGTACCCGTTTACCCCGCCACTGGAATGTGGCTTGGAACTGTTACTTTCGAACGAAGGTGTCAAACGTAAATAATGTGGGTTTTTGTTTGCTAGCTAGCGATCCGTAAAGATACGCTTCGAATGATTATTCTTTTCGTTTTACGATTGATAAACGATGCGATGGTTATGCATCTAATGGTACCTCCCCATATTTCTAGACCCAACAACAAAAAATATATGGTTCTGGTCAGACGCGTACGTGCATAAATAAATAAAATCTTATTCTGTATTTTTTTTTTATCTTAGAACAGAAGATCGAACGTCAAACTTGTTGCTTGTAATAAACTGAGAAATGGCAAATATTAACATATTGACAAGTAAATGCTTATATTTTTGTGTTAAAGGCTGTATTATATGAAAATATGCTATACCACAAGTTTATCTCATTATTACTATCACCATCATAAGGTCTTTAGTCCGAAGGTTGCCTGGATACAAACCTAAACATTTCAAAAGCTTCTCACTCTTTTTTTACTCTCAACGTGCCATAATAAGTACAATTCAAAACTGGTAATCGTATGATAATTAAAAAGTAGAAAAAGAGCCACCATCTCTTAATACTCCATAAAAATTTAATAAATTGTGGAACAACACAACAGCAGTTCCTACATTTACACCATTAATTTATACATTTGGATTTCCTTTATTTACTGCCTACCAACAAACAACTTTTTTTATGAAAATTGATTCTTAATGTCGCTACTATGTACCTGAAAATATAATAAAATCATCTGAACTTTCTTCTGCAATGTAAAATCAAAACTAAAACGTAAACTGATGGAGTACTTTTCTTTTATACGTAACTAGTTATTTCAGCTAAAATTTTGTGAAATTTAATGTTCACGTACAACAACGGGGAACACGATTTTAAATAAATATCAGAAATTTTTAATAATTATCTGAGAGAATATCTTCTCTATCTTCTTTTTTCTTTTTGACAATTGCATATCAAAAACCATCCAAATATCTGCAATATATATATATTGTAGAACTCACCTAATGAATTCAGTCCGTAATGCGCTTGATAAACCGTGCTGGCTGCAGCCGTAGTTATCGGTAACGCAGATCCTAAACCTGTACTTTGATTCAGCTGCCCTAAAGACTGACCAAATCCCCCCATTGATACTCCGCCTTGACTAAGTTGGCTTAACCCTGGAAAATCGATTGAAATTCCACTGTAAGTAAAACCCATTCATCTGCATTTGCAGTGCAATCAAAGCTGATCAACTATTAATACAATCATTGATTATTACTATTATATTAGATAATAAGTATTTTAATACTTTTACGAAAATTCTCATTTTACAATAGTGAAGACTTTTAGTTAATGACTGATGTGTTATATACCTGTTGCCATACCAGCAACACCCCATCTCGTATCGGACGTACTAAACATACTTGATCCACAAATTCCATCTCCCATCGCCCCGAAAGGCGGTAGACCATGGGATGGTAGAAGGGCACCTGGTGTACGGAAAACGTTCGTGGTCTTCTTCCTTTTCTTCCATTTTGCTCGTCTATTTTGAAACCATACCTTTAGACACAAAATTGACTGCTTAATCAATTAGTATTGTTAATGTTACCTACTGAGCTTACTAAACAACAAATTGTGTTATTGTACAATTAATTCTTTCATATATACGTTATTACACACCTGTTAATTATTCGCAGTATGTCGCTAATTTTATACCTTTAGCATTGTAATAAGGTCTTTCTTGGGCAAAATACTTAAAATGTCATCTAATCAGCTAAGTAACAAAAAACTTTCTTAAATTATTTAAAAGCAGTTACTAAAAATATAACGTCTTTTATTATTTGAGACTATTCATCAGTAAGAACAAGTAGTTAAATTTACTAGGTATTTTAGTTGATATTACAAATTAAATTGTGCTAATTAAGAAACTTGAAATAATTTTAAAAAAACATGTCAAAATTGAGATTATTATAAGTTACCTAATAAATTCTCTTATTTCTACGGCTAATTCACCCATTTAAAATCGGAAATTGTAATTTTTGCTTTGCCATAAAAATTTAGTTTTCACTGTGTAATATTTATTTTGAATTTTTGCTCTTCGTTGTGTTAAAATTTTTTGGTTGGCTGTAACTGATTTACTACCTTTGTACATTGTAATACTGTTTCGTGCAATGTCGCTGCACACAATGCCGAAATTACTTGTTGTCTTTGGGGACCGTAGACAGTGTTTATCCATTGAGCAAGACGCATAGCTGCTAAATAATCCAAGACCATTAGCGCCCTATAACTTCCAGTAACTCTCTCGGCTCTGCTTGAGGTCCGCTGAGATTTAACACATGATATGACTCCGACCGGAGTCGGATAGGGGAGTTTACCTACATAAACTACAGAGAGCACAATAAAAATGCTTTTGCATTGTAGCGCACTCACCTACTTGGTATGGTGTATATGTTACACAAAATTCAATTCCAATATAAGTAGTATATAATAAAAAACATTGTAATGTCTCAACAAAGTACGTTTTCGACAACTACATTTCCTTAGCTTTTTGTCGTTCAAATTATTGTTCAAAAACTTCTCTCTGTTTTCTTAATAATCTCTAATCCAATTTAAAAAAGTATATTAAGGTTGGAGAAACAAAAGTAATTTCCGACTATAGCTTACAGCGATGTCAATAAAATTTATCTTCATTAAAATTACCAGCAAAGACTAAAAGCTTTGGCAAAAAATAATAGAGTAGGTAATAGCACACAACACACATCAACTTTTTTTGATCATGAACTCCCTCTGATTAGTAATATTGTGACTAAATAATGAGAAGAAAAAGCCGGGCAATTAAAGAAATATTTCAGTTGTTATTGAAACATTTTAATCAATGAGATATTGATGTTTTTTTATTTTAAAGTCTTGCTGGTACTCATTCCAAAATATTACGCCAAAGAGCAGAGTATATAGTTATACCTATTATTACAACTTTTATTATATTTTTTGATACAGAAAAAGTGCTCGAGCTACAACATTTTCTTTGCGTTTTACCTGGCATATAACCTGTGTTTGTTGTACTCTAGGTAAGTTTTCTCAGTAAACACATTTGTGTATAACATCAGCCACGTCGACCATACGTCTAGACAAAGGGACGTAAAATTTCTTCGGATTGTTTTCACATATAGTTGTGGAATGCACTGTTTTCGTATAAAATACGTCGAAATAAGACAAGTTACCGTGGTCGGGAACCTAGTGGTCAGGCTTTTTATTATCTTCAAATAAATGCTATGCTAGTCGGACGGTCCTTTTCAAACAATACGCGGCCTCTTTACGAACCTGGTCTGCTGCGAATTGTGGTTATTTCGCGCGTTAACCGATTTACTACAACGCAAAATGAAAACGCACTAACAAGAGTTTTCTAAACGTGAAATAATTATAAATGTTACGGGAACATTTTGATTTCAGTAGCGAATTGAATCCTCATTCAGTGACGAAGTTTGACCTAGGTGCTTAAAATGAAGAATTTGTTTTGATCTGTTGATCGAAAGCAATACCACTCTTATAAATACGTAAATCCTACGCTGAATGACACATACATAACCGCATAACAAAAGAATTTCGAGAAAAATGAAGAACCATCCAGAAAGTTTGATGACAATAGAATATCTATTTTCAATTTTTAAAGGTTTTCCGAAACATCCCAACGTACGTATGCTAAGAAATTTTTTGTTTCACTTAGACTCAAGATTTTTTAATCGCTGCGTATCTGCAAACGAAAAAATGTCGGCTTATACGTCATACCTTCGTAATTTCCAAATTTTAGACTTATCCAAAGAAAATTTGGCATGTACATGTACATAGGTCTAGATGTTACATTTACGTTTAATAAATCGACGGAAAAGAACGTCACAATCTAAAATTAGCGACAAATAAACTTAAAAACTAGAAGTAAATAAGTCAAAGTAGTTATTTTTGTTACTATAAGAAAAATTCTCGTTAAACAGAGAGGTGGGTTAAAAGTTGTCAATTGACATTAGTAATACGAATGATGACTACAGTGCATTACCACTTTTGAAATTTGTAACACAAAATAATTTAGACGGAACATTAAGAGAAATAAAAAATTATTAGAAATTGTTCTGACAACCCATGTCAACATCGAAAGCTGAAAAACGCTTTTTAACTCATGAAATTCCTCCGAAATTCAACGTCCCAAAATCATTTGACAACCCTAATATCACTCAAAAATTGATAGCTTCAACAAGAAGGTTATGAACGGATTTGCTTATATGAAGGATTATATGATTGAATTTATTAAAAAAAAAAAATGGAGAAGTAAACATTTGCAGAACATATACTTCATTCCTTCACTATCCGTCATTGCTACAAATATGTAAATATTTCTGTATCAATTGTAGTGTGTGACAACACTTTGATGTAAAGCCCATAAAAGTTTCCATCAAACAAAATTAATACAAATATATTACCACGATATTCACATCTTACTCTTACAAGTTCTATAAACTCTGTAAATAATTAGATTTATATTAATTTTTTACATTTCATCAATCCATTGTAAAAGTAAAAGTTGCTTCCAAAAATTTTTTTAATAAGCAACTGTCTCATTTAAATTGCTCTTCTCGTGATTATTAAATAAAATCCTGTAGCAAAAAGTGTTCGAATCACATATCCGGAACTTTTACGAGAAAGCATGTCGATTCGGCTCTAAAGATGTCGTAACGGTAATCGAATGTCGTAAAACTAATCCGCTCCACGGAAACATTGCCGATTTGATGGTCTACGCCCAAATCCTGCCTAAAGGATGACTATTGGAAACTTTCAAATATCCGTTAAACAACCCATTCAAAATATCTACTGTATTACCGTTTAGTAATATAGTCAATATTATAGTTTCATTTTCTTTTCACAATGAACAGAAGTAAGTAGGGTTCGTTGACATCACTGACCTCATAATTATAAGAAGACTTTTTTTCAAGAATATGTGCGCCAGTGTCCACTGACACTCAGTACTAAGGGGCTTTTTTCCCTTTGAGTCTTGCATGTAGATTTCTTTTTCGTAAATTGGGCTCTTTGGGAGTCAATAAGAAGTATCAGAAGTATAGACACCTTTTCAGGCATGAAGGTCTATAGTTATCGTAGAAACATATTAGAAGCAGAAACAGGAATTAAAAGTAGTAGATTACTGTTTTAGGGAAATGCGAAGATTAATTCAGGAGATGAAAGAGTAGAGGTGCGTGTCCAACCAGTCTCAGAATTGACAACCCTATAATGATAAAGGATCACTACTGACAATAAGCTTAAGGATTATATATTGTATAAGTAGATATATAAAAATTAAAGAAAAAAGAACTCATTTGATGAAATATTATCGATAATATTAAGTGGAAATATATAAAGGGTGCTAACCTATATCCAAAACCGCCACATAACACTTAATTAGTACATAATTTGGACTCCCCAATCAATGATGCATATGTCTCTTTTAATTTTATGCTAATGTTGTAAGTGCACATATTATAACCAGAGTGTAAATTTTGCTAATTGGTAATAAATTAATGAGATGATGTACAAACAAATTAAATTCTCAAATGGTTTAATATTAGTCAATTCATTATTTGGTAAATTAGTAAAATTATCTCATTGAATTGTTATTGATGAAATTCTTAAAACGAGTAGACATGTCAAACAAACCATTAGTACAATTACATTTATTGTTGTTCTGGCAAACTAAACGAATCGGTTTATAAAGAAACGAAACATATTGTGCTATTAACATCATTGATAAATTATTAAAATACACTGTAAAATGTAGTATTTCCCTCGATTAAAATAGCAAGGTTAAATTACTAATCCAGTCAAACCAGAAGACAATAATATTGGATTGATTTTAGCATTTGTGGTATTCTGTCTCGCCTAAATGTTATGAGTCATATAAATGTACTATCTGTTTCGAATTGATACAATAAGTATAGTATCTTTAATACTGAAACTACGTATTTTGAATTCTTTTTTAAAGTTCTTACGCTATAACCAGAATATGTTTTCAATCCTTTCGTACAGAGGAAAATAAAAAATTATCTCCTATTTCACGATCTCATTGAGAGCTCCGAGTCCAAAATTCATTAAGCTTTTCCGTAATTTATATAAAACGGTATTGATTTGTAAATGATAAGGCTCCAATTGAACTGCAAATTCTTTAAAATGCTCGGCGGATTGCGCGCTTTTCTTAATAATATTAGTACACATAACGTACAACGAGCAAAGCCGATACGAGCGCAGTGAAGACCGTCGCGACGCCGTCGGTGCTGACCAACATAGCGAGCGAAAACAGCAGACAGCGAACGAGGTGGTGGCACATATTGGCGTCGTTGGGGTGGTAAAACGAAGAAGGAAGAGGCAGCAGCGTCGGTGGTGGTTGGTGGTGGTAGTAGCAACAGTAGTAACGGTCGGGACGGCGGCGGAGGGTATTGGACGGGTGAGTCGAGCCACTGCCGTCGTCGTCGGGTCGCGGCGCGCGGTAACCACCACCGATCATACATCAACCGCGCCCCATT